AGGGGAGTGGGGAGGAGAGGACTGTGGGTGGTGGGGTGGGAGACTGGTGGAGGGAGAGGTGCTTAGTTTGTTTTCTGCTCAGCTGAGCCAACAAAAAAGAAAATGAATCCGTGGAGCCCATACAAGGTGGCAGAGTTGCAGTGCCGAAGCGCAGCTCAGTGGAGGAGGCGGCAGGCACGGGGCCCAGAGAAAATTATCTTTCTAACCACTACGTTGGTGCCATAATCACCTGCACGCAGCAGCTCTGGTTCCTGGGGGAGGGGCCACCGGAGAGCCACTTGGTTTGATTCCTTTAATCTTTTGACACGGCCTGTCACGGAGGAGTATGTAATTAGGCCGCACTGTACCTTCCCAGCAGCCCAAGCCGCAGGCACCTCGCAAGATGAGAGCCGGTGCTGCTGGAGCCGCCGGGCTGGGCCGGGTTCTTAATTGGCTTATGTGCTTCTCTTGGAGTCTGTCCTGTTTTTCCAGGGATGCAGCTACCTCCTGGACCGTGGTGGGGGTTGCTCTCTCAAGGGATCTCTGAGGGACCAGGGACCCTGCCATGATGCTGGTTTGGGGGCAGGGTGGTGGCAGGTGAACTCCGGCCTGACCAGCTAATGGCCTGAGAATGTGCCCTGCCTGCTCCGAAGAGCTCCCTGACCCCAAAGACCCTGCTGTGCACGCATCTGAACCCCCATCCCAGGTCTCTGCACCTTGCTATAAAGAGTCAGCCATGGAGATGTGTGTGGCGACCCCAGGAGCACCAGGAGGGAGGCTCTCCTGGCCTGGAAAGAGACCAGCCTCTTGTTTTCTACGGTGGACAGGCCAAAGGGATACAGTCACAAGGGTTTGAGGATTTGGGAAGTGGAAGAGATTTGAGGGTGGCCAGGAGGGGGTTGGAGCCCTGTTTTGCTCAGCAAAGAACAGAGTAACACAGGGCTGTTTATTCAGGCCCTACATGATGGGGATGCTGGTGTCTGCCCAGCAGCTGACACGCTGTAGGGGTGTCTTCAGGCAGCGCTGCTTCCTCCTCCCTGGAGCCTCAGCCTCTCCTTGGGTGTGCAGGAATCTTTCCCTCCATCCCGCAGTGGCAATTTTAGAAGAGGGTGGCAACTTTCCCCTCTTCCACAGCCAGCGCCTGCTCAGCAGTCTTCCTGCGTGGAAAACGGAACAGGAGCCCCTGGTCGGGTCATCCCCCAGCTGGGAGCAGCGGGGCTTCATGTAAAAGTGTGGAGCCAACCAGAGCAGGGAGAGGGGGTGGCCTAGGGAGTGGCCACGTACAGGGATGCCCTGGCCCGCCCCTGAGTGTCCTACGCCACTCTGCTAGGCCTGGGAGGCCCAGGCATGGACGGGAGGGCAGGGTACTCTATTGACCGTCTGCAGGATTCTGGAAGGCTGAACGACATGGTGATAATCAGCTCAGCTCTGGGGTCCAAACGCCACTTCAAATCTCAGCTTCACCAGACAGGGGTGACCATAGGCATGGTTTAACCTCTTTATACTCTGTCTTCTCGTCTGCAAAATGGAGTAGTAAAGGAATTATTGAATCCTAGAATTGCTGTGAGCACTAAAGCGGATAGCTAAGGCAAGAGTTTGGCACGGGAGACAAGCTCCACAATGTCAGCTCTGGGGTTCCTTTGGCATCGTCTCATCAAGTCCTTTGACCCCAGATGGGACAGGAGCCCGGGAAGTTTTGAGATCCTAGATTATTCTATCGAAAGGTGGCTTCTAGGTCTCCCGGCCCACACTTCTCCAGGACGTCCATCTCGGCCACCCCAGGTCCCACTTCATTGTTCAACAGCATTCCCCGAAAGGAAAGCTGTGTTCTCCTCTGGTCCGGCCTAAGTTGTAGTGAGGTGAACGCCTTCCCCTGCCCCCTCTAAATAGTAGTTCTGGGTCTTCTGGAAACTCACCAGCAGCCACTCTGGATCCCTGTGGCCTGTGGAACTGCAGCGTCACTGTTCCCCAGGGGCTTCTGAGAGACACAGCGTCTGGAGTCCCCGCCCAGGCCTGGGGAGTCAGAACCTGCCCCTGGACCAGATCCCCCGAGGATATGTGCATGCAGAGAGTGTGGGAAGGCTGCTCCATGCCTCCTAGGAGACCACAGTTCTCTCTCACCACCGTGACAAGCCTCAGCGATGTGTCCCTGGGAAATGCAAGCTACCTGCAAGTAAATTATTGTTAATAGTTACAGTACCAACATTTGCAAATAATGTCACTTTTGAAAAAGGAAATTAGAGCTGACTCGAAGTTATTCCTATCAAGACATCACCCTCATGTCTGCATTCTAACTTGCTTTCTTGAAGGAGAATTACCGTCGTGATGCACACGCACGAGGGACCTCGTCAGCAGGTGTCCACTAAGGAGGGAGGACCTAACCCACCCGTCCTCCTGAACAGCAGTCCTACCCACTGTGCTCCCAAGAGATGGTCAGTCAGATGGTGTAGGAGGCAGAATGGCCCCAGGCAGCCACATCGATGCGGTGCAGGCCTCCTTCTCGGAAATTCTTCCTTACGTTGGTCTGCAAGACGCCCCCACTGGAACTCTTACCCTTCCTTGCTAAGTCTCTGGCTGCACATGGAATTAGCCCACCTCGTCTTTCACAGGACACAGCTGTTCCTTCCCGTTGCTGCCATAACTAATTGCTACAAACTGAGGGGCTTGCAACAACAGAAACTGATCCTGTCACAGCTGTGGAGGCCGGACGTCCAACAGCAAGGTGTCGGCGGGATGCGCTCTCTCCAAAGGTTCTCGGGGAGGATCCTTCCTTGCCTACTCCCAGGCATCCCTTGGTTTGGGACTGCCAAGCTCTAATCACTGCCTCTGTCATCTGTGGTTTTCTCCTCCTCCCTCCCAAATCTCTCTCTGCCTCCCTCTGTCATGACACCTGCCACTGGATTTGGGGTCCCCCCGAATCCAGAATCTCATTTTGAAATCTTTAACTCAGTTACATCTGCTAAGATTCCTTTTCCAAATAAGATCGCATTCACAGGCTCTGGCAAGCAGGATGTGGACAAATCTTTCGGGGGCCACTAATCGACCCACAGGAGGTCCATTCAAATATTTAAAGGCACGCTCTCAACCAATTGCCCCTTCTCCATGCAAAGACAAATCCCAGAATCCTTCGGTAGATCTTCCATGTGATATACTGTCAGCCTGACTGACACCCCTGGCCCTGGGCAGAATGTCTGTCTCCTCTCAGACAAAGGACTTGAACAATTTTTTTTTCTTTTTTTTTTGAGACAGAGGCTTGCTCTGTTGCCCAGGCTGGAGTGCAGTGGCGTGATCTTGACTCACTGCAACCTCTACCTCCCAGGTTCAAGCGATTCTCCTGCCTCAGCCTCCCAAGTAGCTGGGACTACAAGCGTGCACCACCACACCCAGCTAATTTTTTGTATTTTTTGTAGAGACGGGTTTTCACCATGTTAGCCAGAATGGTCTCGATCTCCTGACCTCGTGATCTGCCTGCCTCAGCCTCCCAAAGTGCTGGGATTACAGGCGTGAGCCACCGCACCCAGCCAAGGACTTGAACGATTTTAACCTGGTAGGGTAGGATGAGCTATGGTGGGCAGTGGGTGGTGTCACTTAGGTAGAGAACTTGAAAAAGGAGGTTCCCAAAAGCAGGGCTGGGACGTGGGTGAGGCAAGAGAGGTGCCTGGAATCTAAGGCACTGCTCTCTTTCAGTCTCATGTAGGCAGGCCCGTGAGTGTGAGTGCTTACATCCATACCCTGGGCCTCGCTCTCCTCTCCCTAGCCCCGGCCTGCCCTAAAGAAGCCAGCTGGGGGACTTCCAGGACCTCTCTCTGGAGAAACGTTCCAGAACTGAGCCACCCACCAACATGAGTGAGCTTCCTGCGAGAGTGAGGGGGGACTCCCTGAACCTCTGCTGGGCGCTCCCCACCGCTGCCACACCAGGTTCCCAGGGGTCAGTCCCATCCCTGCCTGGGGCAGAGTCAGGGAGAGTCCTGGGAAGAGGAAATGGCACATGGTAAAGGGTTTCCTTCCCTGAGGGTCTCAGTCACTGTACCTTATTCACCACGCATGGGAGTATCCAGGGATCGTGCCCCCTGGGGTTGGCCGGTATACAGGTTCTGCGGTCGTTCCAGGCATTTCTCGGCAAACCACCGCCGAAGACTCAGACTCCTTCATGGACCTCCACTTGTAAGCCCCTCTGGAAGCTGAGGGTGAGTCCTGCCTGGCGTGGTGCCTACCCAGCCTCATCCAGGTAGCCGCTGGCACTGCAGCTTAGGAGCTTATGGCTGGTCCCCCAGCCTTCCTCCCCACTCAGCCTCCTGGGCTCTTTTAACAACCCTCATTTGCAGAGCTGTTTTAAAGTTTTGCAGAGAACTTTTTACCTCTCCTTTAATGGGACCTTCACAATGACCTCGACATTTATTCATGAGCCCATTGTATTAAGATGAACCTGAGGTGAAGGCAACAAATCTGCTGCCCCGGGCTCCACAGCTCAGAATCTGGGGTCAGGACTGGTCTCTGGGTCCATCCCTCCCAGTGATCTGCTCTTCCTTTGCCAAGCATCTTGGACTAGACGTGCAGCAGGAGTGTCGAGTGAGTGCAGGTTAGGCATCAGCCTGCGGGCACAGGCCTGGTTACCTAGAGTTGCCCCTTCTGACCGAGAGGAAGAATTCATGAAGAGCCAGCCTCCCGGCCTGGCAGGCAAGGGTTTCACCTGGTCATCAGACTTTTTTAAGAGGCACCAAGGAAGCAAATAGCAGGTGGCCAGGCCAGGATGGACATGGTCAAAGTGAGTCAGCTGGTTTCATGGAGCTGCTAACCCAGCCGCCACCCTCTCCTGCCTTCCAAGTAGCAAATTCTCTGGTCCTGCTCGCAGTCAGCTTGTACCTGGGTTGCCCATTCTTGAAGAATGCTCGCTGCTGGGCCCGCCTCTGTCTCTGAGATGAGGCCAGGAAAGCTGGGGTGGTCTCACTCTGTGTCCTGGTTCCACCACACCCGACCCCCAGGACAGCTGAGAAAATCTGCAACCTTTCACAGCTGGTTGACTTTCAGCACAAATGGGCAGGTGCCTAGAGCAGCCAGCAGGATCCGCTCATCTGAAACCACTTGGGAAGCTCCAGGGAATGGCTCTCCATCCAAGCTGGCAGGAAGTGAGGTGGGCCTCAGCCTGGGCCCAGATTTGTCAGGGTAAATGCCACCTGTGGGAACTCAGGCTTTGCCTGGCAGGGGCCCTCAGAGCCGTTCTGAGATGACTCTTGCTTCTGCTGCCAGCAACGGCGGGTTCCATCTCAGGGAGGGCAGGGAATCAATCCTCCATTAATTCTCAGGACTGGTTCTTTGAGCCCACCTGGGTTTAGTCCTTGATTTCACTATTTACTGGGTGACCTGAAACCAGTGACTCAACCTCTCTGAGTGCAGGCATCCTTCTCTGTTAAGTGGAAATAACCATAGAACCTCCAACCTTACAGGTTGTTAAAAGGATCACATTAATTGATGGATGGAAAAGTACTGGTAATGTGTAAATGCCTGGCAAATGCAGTTACTGGTTGTTTTTGGTTTTTTTGTTTGTTTTTTGTTTTTGTTTTTGTTTTTTTGAGACAGTCCCTCTCTGTAGCCCAGGCTGGAGCGCAGTGATGTAAACTCAGCTCACTGTAACCTCTGCCTCCTGGGTTCAAGTGATTCTTCTGCCTCAGCCCCCCAAGTAGCTGGGATTACAGGTGCCTACCACCATGCCCGGCTAATTTTTGTATTTTTAGTAGAGATGGGGTTTCACCACGTTGGCCAGGCTGGTCTCGAACTCCTGGCCTCAAGTGATCCACCCGCCTCAGCCTCTCAAAGTACTGGGATTACGGGTGTGAAAATGTAGTTAGTATCATTACTGTTGTGATGGGAAGCATGCCAAGGGGCAGCCAGCAGCCATACCCTGCCCACTTACCCACCTTTCTACTCTCCTCACGGTCCCCCCAATACCACGTTTCATAATGCCAAGGCTCACTGCTACGGTTATGAGAAGAAATGGGTCCCCTCCAAATTCATATGTTGACACACTAACTCCTAGCACCTCTGAATGTTACCATTTTGGCGACAGGGTCTTTAAAAAGGTAATCAAGGCAAACCAAGGCCACTGAGGTGGGCCCTAATCCAGCACGACTGGTGTCCTTATAGGAAGAGGATATGTGGACAGAGACATGTGCAGAGGGAGGACCACGGGAGGACACAGGGAGAACACAGCCAAGTCACCAACCCTGCCTACGCCTTGATCTCAGACTCCCAACCTCCAGAACTATGAGAGAAGGACTTTCTGTTATTTAAGCCCCCCAGTCTGTGGTGTTTTGATAGGGTAGCCCTAGGAAAAGGATACCGTTATGTGACCCATCGTAGGTTCGGGAAAGCATTTGTTCTGTAGGACATCAATAGGGCTTGTGTAAAAACAGGATTCTGCAGTCAAACGAATCTGAGAACCACTGGGTCGAGCATAGCTCACCAGGTTTTCTTTACTGGAAGCCTCCTCACAGCCATGACTGTGCTCATGGGTGTTCTGAATCCCTAGGAGGGGAGAGATTGGGGGCATTTCCCACCCTTTCTTGAACATGGAGTCCTCGCCATTGCAAAGCACAGGCTTTGTGTTCCGCAGAACAGGCCTTGGCAACATGCTGGAAGCTGAGACCAGTTGGGGTGGGGAGGAGGCATGGGGGCAGGGTAAGACCCCGGGCCCTCTGCCTGTGCTGGCGAGTCCCTCCATCTCCCTTATCAGACAAGCAGCAGGGCCAGCCAGGAGTGCCACGTTTTATGGCTCTATCATGTGTGAGATCTTGCCCATTAGGGAGAAGCTGTCAACACAAAACATAGATTTCAAGATACACTTTCTACTCCAGGATTATGAATAACCCCTTCGATCATTAGAACCAGAGCAGTTTTTTAAAAATCCAATTTGTTTCCCACTTCAGAACCCATTTAGTTTGCTTCCTGCCCCCTGGGTTGGGGAGGGAGGGCTGGAGGCTGGAGCCTTCTAGAATCCTGGCTCCGGAAACCTTGCACCCCCCAGAAATTGTGCAGGTTTTTCATCTGAAACCTTGATTTTCCTAGGAATCATCTGTTATCCATTTCCTATAACCCAGCTGTGTATTTCTGTTGGAAGGTATTCCCTTTATAATCAGACAGAGCTGCAGGGGGCCCTGTGGAGTGGGCAGCATCCCCAGAGGGTCAGGAGGAGACATTCCAGACAGTCTCCCAGCGGAGAAGTTTGGGAAGGTGCTGATTTCATCTGTCAAGTCGTAAAGCAATGCACTAATCCAAAATTAAACAAAAACAAAAATAATCACCAGGCAAAGGAGTGTGAAAAATCCCCATTTCTGTCTCTCTCTCCTCATCAGCGACGGAAACCGGGGCTTCCTAGAAGAAACGATGCATTCCCCACCTCCCTCTGTTTGTGCTGCAGTGAAAACTGACACGAGAGATTCATTGGAACATGTGCCCTCGTTCCACTCTCATCAGCCCACCACGGGGACGGGAGCTGTTCATCTTTTTGGCTCTGCTCACAGCCTCCAGAACACTTGTGAGGGGCACCTTGCGGGCGCCGTGGTCGGAGGAGGCCCCTGGAGCTCTTCCAGAGGCTGGCGCTCTCCGCAGTTGTTGCTCACCTACCTGCTCAGGCCAGGACAGGCCGGAGTGGACAATGTCTTCCCAGGAGGCTGAAGCTGCTCTATCACTCACCAAACCCCCTCATCTGCCGGCCTGACCCTGTGCTATGCTGGAAATAGCACTCGAGGCGGACATCCTCCCTGACCTGGAGAAGGGCAGTGCCCTGGAAGGAGAGGGCACAGAAGCAGCTGTTTACATAACCTCTGAGGGCTGCAATGGGGCAATGGGGTGAGCAGGAGAGCGACAGGAGCCCGGGGCAGCTGGTGACCCACCCCTGGAGGCATTTGTGAGGTGTCGGAAGAGGGAACCCCTTGAGCAGGGCCTGCAGGGATGGCTAAGACTCCATCAGGCAGATGAAATGATTTGCTTTCCTCACACTTACCAAGCTTAGAAATGACCTCCTTCGTGCACGTGAATGACTTTATTCATGTGTATGACTCACCTTCTTCATGCATGTGATGATCTTATTGTTTTCGACTCATGCATGTGATGATGTTATCCGTGTATGTGACTCACCTTCATGCATGTGATGACCTTATTCATGTAGCTGATTCGCCTTCTTCATGCATGTGATGACCTTATCCATGTATGTGACTCACCTTCATGCATGTGATGACCTTATTCATGTAGCTGATTCTCCTTCTTCATCCATGTGATTACCTTATCCACGTATGTGACTCACCTTCTTCATGCATGTGACAACTTTATGAATGTAACTCACGGTTCGTCTTCCCATCCCCCTAAAATATAAACTCAATGAGAGCAAGACCTCTGTCTACTTCTTTTTAATCAGCATGTCCCCAGTGCCTAGCTCAGTACACAGTAAGTACTCAAAACTACGTGTTGAATGGTTGGGAATGAAGGCCAAGGGAGAGTCAGGGTGGGAAGGACCTTAGAGAGTGACAGGTGCTTGCCCCATCCCCCCAGTCTTAACAGGAATCACCCCCCAACTTCCCACCCTGACAGGTCCCAGGACAGCCTCACCAAGAGCTGCATGGCCATGAACCATTCCCCCTCATAACTCCCAGATGCACCAAGATTGCCACGGAGAAGGCCCAGATGAGGTCCCTGGGCTGTACCGCTTGCCAGCAGGTACAGAGCGGCGGGTGGGGGCCGCTGGCTGGCCCTGCCACGCACTCCTCAGGCTCCCGCTCCTGCCTCCCCGAGCCTCATGCCTCCCCGAGCCTCAGTCCTTTTAGCTCTCATTTGTAAGTGGGCCTCAACCCAAGCGCAAGATTCAGCGGGAATCCGGCCGGGTTCCCAGACGCTTAATTGGAGCTGGGCTCTTCATTACCCGCACACCTGTTCCCCAGCACCATATGGTCTGAGGTAAATAGTCTATAATTGTTTATCCAGAGTCCATTCTGCCGTGAGTGAGTGAGTGCGGGACCGCCTCCACCGCCACCTCCAGCTCCCCCGCCATCGCCCCTGCCACTGATCCCTCACCGGGCTGCTGAAGGACGAAGCCCCATACAAGGTTAAAGAGTTTACAGCTGTCCCGGCAGAGCCACCTTCCATGTCCGGGGGCCCACCTTGGAGCAGCCTCTCCTCCGGCTCCAAGGAAAAGTCCCTGCCCAGCTATGCAACTGCTGGGAGCTTGGCAGCCGGGTCTCCCTGCCCTTCCAGCGTGGCTGAGCAGCCGGGCCCCTCGCTAGCACTGGGATCATTTATCTCTTTCCCCGTGGAGGCTGCAGGACGTCTGAGAAGGGCCTGGGCTTTGGACCTGGAAGGCATGGGCCTCGCCTGTATCTCCGCGCTGCCACTCTCCAATTTAGTGGCCTCAGGTGAGTTTCTTCACGTCTTAGGCTTTGGCTGCTGCGTCTTCCAAAAATCAGGACATGATTTTTTTTCTGCATCACGTGGTCGTTCGCAACAGAAGGCGTTAATGTTCACGGGGTACGTCCTGTTGGGTCAGCACGCTGCCGTGTGCTTTAGAGATAGGGCCTCTTGGAGGAAGGCGCTTTGATTATAAACACTTCACAGAGGAACAAAGTCAGGCTTAGGCTGGTGAACCCACTTGCCCGGTGCTACCCCAGCCAGAAACTGGGGGAGCTGGAATTCTAACCCAGTTCTGTCGATTTTGGAAGTTGATCTCCTGACCACCATCCTATATTTACATGATGAGATCATGCATTACAGAGGCCTGGCCTGGTGCCTGGCATATAGAAGAAAATCAATAAATGCCCATTGTTTTCTCTCTGCCCTTCCTTCAGTGGACAGATGCCCCTGCCACCACCACTCAGGCTTTTGGGAGGCATCCAGAGCTCCGGGCTGCCAACGTGCCCTCCCCCAAGATACAGTATAAATAGAGCAGAGCCCAGTCCCCTCCCCAGTCCCCTTGCCTTTGTTCCTGGCCAGCCCTACCAGGAAGAAGTGGCCCTTCCCCACCGTGCAGCCGATCCCCAGATGGCCCTGGACCACCATGCAGCCAGGCAGGAAAAGGGGGAAGGCAGGACGGCAGGCAATGCCCCAACAGAGCTGAGCTCGCAGCCTTGGACGGAGTCAGATGAGTCTGTCTTAAGAAAGAGCAAGGGCCCCTGAGCATTTTGGGGGATCTGACTGAAAGCATGACCCGGTGCAGGAGGCAGAGTGCTCGACACCTTGGGGGGAACCAGAGCCACACGAGAGCCTGGACACTCGGGGGACCTGGGGCCTCTCTTCAGGGGCACAGGAGAAGGCTGCTCTTCACCATTTCACCACCTGAGTTTTTCCCTTTCCTGCCCAGAGCTCCTCTGCCCGCCCAGAGCTGCTCCAGGTGGATGGATGGCTTCCCCAAGCCCAAGAGAACAGATGCTGTGTCCTCTTAATCTGCACGGAATTGGTCTTTAATATGATGAAGGGCTTCTAGACCTTTCAGCTCTGACGGATCCCCTATATAGCAGAGTCACTGGCTGTTACCAGAGCCTACCTGGGCAGGCAGGCGCCCTCGGGTGGGCTCAGAGACTGTCTCACCCCAACCAGTTGGCAGCAGCTCCCCCAGCCCAAAGGAAGGATGAGACCCAAGTCCTATCGTTCGAGACACTGTCATCCCCCTAGATAGACAGACAGCAAGTTCCCAGTACACAAACTCATCAGTCCACAAAGAGGAGCTCCACACATGAAGCACAGGGCCACAAGGAAGCCAGGAAACCAAGGGGAGCAGAAACAAGCGTTGCTGGAGCCTGTGGGGTAACTGGGGAAGTCTTCCTGCAGGAGGTGCCCCCAGGGGCCTTGAGAGCTCTGATCCCCATGAGGTACCTGCTGGCTCTGTGGAAGGTAGAGAATCAGGCAGGAACGAGAATTGCAACCAAGAAAAAATAGATATGGAAAAAAGAAAAGAAAAGAAAAGCTTTTCCTAGCAAGTTTTCCATCTGCCTATGGGGAGACCCTTTGAAGAAGAGCCTGCGGCCGGAGCAGCAGCAGCAGCCGCCCCTCCCATCTCCCGGAAGGGGAAGGAGTTTTAAACAATCCTTAAGCTGCTGTATAAATTAGCCCCTAAGGGGATGCCATGCAGCTCTACCTTGGCCTGATGAGCATGGGGATATCTGCAAGCCCAGGCATCAGGCAGGGCTGCTGGAGTGGTCAGCAGGGTGCCCGCTGCCCTCGGCATCGGAAAGATGCAGCGTCCTGGAAGCAGGAGTCCCACTCCCCGGGAATGTGAGCCTCTGAGGAAATCTCTGTCACTCAAAGACTTGGAGGACCAGGCGCGGTGGCTCACACCTGTAATCTCAACACTTTGGGAGGCTGAAGTGGGCAAATCATGAGGTCAGGAGTTCGAGACCAGCCTGACCAAAATGGTGAAACCCTATCGCTACTAAAAATACACAAATTAGCCGGGTCTGGTGGCATGTACCTGTAGTCTCAGCTACTCGGGAGGCTGAGGCAGAAGAATCACTTGAACCTGGGAGGTGGAGGTCGCAGTGAGCTGAAATTGTGCCACTGCACTCCAGCCTGGGCAACAGAGTGAGACTCTGTCAAAAAAAAAAAAAAAAAAGACTTGGAAACTAGACTCAGGTGTTCTGGTCGGGGTCCTGGGTGGGAGTCGGGGTCCTGGGTGGGAGTCAGAGCCCTGGATGAAAGGGAAGAGGAAGGAATGTGTCCTGGACTCCTGTTCTACGGCTGGACACGGGACCAGGCACTTTATAGACACTCTCTCATGTAACCTTCGAAGACCTTCCTGCTAGTTACCACTGCTACTCCCATTTCACAGATGAGAAAACTAAGGGCCAGAGAGATGAAGTCACTTGCCCAAGATCACAAAGCCAGAAGGGGCCAGAGCCGGCATTCGAACCCAAGCATACGCTGTGCCTCTCTTTGAACGTTCCACTCTGGTTCGGGATGGTGGAGCAGCTGAAGACAGTCCCCAGACCTTTGCAAACTGTCCTGGACTTTGTGGCACAGCCTCAAGCCCTGAGGTGCAGGGGACACACAGAGCTGGCAGGGTTTGAGATGACAGAGAAGGGCTGTTCTCCCGGGCTCGTTCCCTTATCAGAACACCTGTGTCCAGCTTCAAAGCCACGGCTGTCATTGCCAGGGCCCCGTCCACACCTCCCGGGCACCCAGCGGGCAGCACATGGCACAGGCATCTGGGACTCACCTGAGGGCTTCTATCAGCCCAGGTAGGGGCCGAGCTCAAGGGACTGGGGAGTGAATGGCCCTGGAAGCAGCCTCGGCCAATGTCAGATGGACTCAGAGGATGAAATCTCCAGCTGCCAAGTTCCCCAGTGGAATTGGGCCCCACTGCCCATGGCGGTAACCTTCTCAGTAGCACAGCATCCTGTATTCACTTCTTCCTGCCCTGTCTCCTTCCCCACTCCCCTAACCTAGTACTTCCCCAGATCACCTCCCAAAGAAATCAATGCATGCAACCCCTTATCTTAGGTCTGCTTCTGGGGGAACCCAAGCTAAGCCCTCCCCTGTGCATCCTTCCTGCCCCCATCCCTGTGCCTTCGGTCCACCTGACCCCCATGCATCAGGAGAACGAAGGTAGGTTTTCTCCTCAAGGAGACAAAACTAATAACAAGATCACAAGCAACCCAAAGACACAGACATCAAATATTACACACCCGGAGTGAGATCCGTATCTCTCTATCTGGAGCGCCGTGCTTTAGAGTGACGGCACGGCCGCCGACCCTCTCATTGATGAAGTATGTTATAAGTGCTAAGTAATAATAATACTGTAAAATGCCTCAGTGCTCAAGCATGAGCTCTGGGCTCCAGATAAAATGCCAGACAGATAGATTAGCAGGCGGAGGAAACGCTCCAAAAGCCATCTCCCCACAGCTCCCTGGGCTTAACAGATAGGTCCAATCAGCCCACTTCAATTACTACTTGGGGACTAATAGCCAAGAGACTGATTAAATCCCCTGTCCAAGCGCCTGTGCTGTGCAGAGCTGGTGACAGCAGGACAGCAGGACAGGTGAGAACAAGGAGAATGAGACGGGATGGGGGTGCGTGCAGGTCGTCTGAGCAGAGCTGGGCTAATCCTACTGCAGTGCCCCATCTGTCCTTACTGAGCCATGTCCGAAGCCCAGGCCACCATCCCTCAGCACTGGCTGGGCCCAGAGCAGGGCTGGCCATCCTCTGCTGTCCTCCTTGGCTGACTCCTCTCCACTTTCCATCAAGAGAAAATGCAGAGGCTGAAAGAGGCCACAGAGAACCAGAAGGACAGCTGATATACTTGTCCTCAGGGGATAATGTGGGCGAAGGAGGTGGTTTTGCCTCAGAACCAAACCCAGGTGGAGGGGAGCACCAGGCAGTGAGGCCTGCCTCACAGCGAAAGGCAGGAAGAGGAAACAGTGGCCAAAGCATTAGACAAGGGCCCTTGAGGACTGTGAGCCCCAGAGGCTAGAACCTGAGTAGGGGGCATGAGAAATGCAGAGAAGGAGAGGTTCCAACTCCCAGAGACGCTGCCTTCCACGGGGCGGGGGTGGGGGGCCAGTGAGAGCACCCCAGGAGCCACAGCTGGGTGACTGTCAGCCTCAATCTCCACTCGCCCCCAGACACCTGCTCCCCGTGCCCCATCTGTTCCAAGGTAGGAAAGGTCAGAGTGACAGCTGTCGCTGCAGTGGGAGGGGCAAGGCCTTCCCCAGTGGAAATGTATCATGTATGTCCTGCTGAGCCGGGGGGCCTTTTTTCATATAGGGCCTTTGACCTTCAGAAAAATATTTGAAACAAGGAGTGCGGGAGGAGGAAGAGGAAGAAGAGAGAAAGGGGGGTGGGAAGGAAGAAGGGAAGGGGAAGGAGAAAGCCAAGAGGAGAAGGAGGAGGAAGAGGAGCAGGAGGAAGGAGAGGAGGGAAAGGAGAAAGGAACGAGGAAGAGAAAGAAGAGGAGGAGGGAGAGTGTGGGAGGAGGGAGAGGAAGCGGAAACAATCTACGCTAAATTTTATATTTGAGAGAGAACACAAGGAAACGTTTGGTTTTTTTCCCTAGTCCATCTGAGAACAAAATAGTGTGAATGTTGCTGAACATGTGTTTTTAAAAATGAAAAACAGAGAATGTAAAATCGTATCCAGGCCTCCCAACAAGCAGTATCTGAACGCTCACAACTGGGTCTGCCGCTCCCAAGGGACAGGGCTGTGTGAGGGAGGAGGCGGGGAAGGAGGCTCCTTTGACAACAGGCTAGGAAGCCTCTGGGTGCCAGAGACCATGAAGCCGGAGGAACTCGCCCCTCCTTGTTGAAGAAGAACATATAAATGCTCCACATATGGAAACTCAACTTGTAAACTCTCATTACTCATGAGCCGGAGGTGAGCAGATGGGAAATGAAACGGCACCAGCAGCGAGCCGGGGAGCCCCAGTGTGAGTGTGAACCGGTGTGCGCTGGGAGGCGGAGCCTGGGAGGGGCAGCCAAGGGCAAGAGAGGGCGGGAGGAGGCAGAGGTGGGGCCGCGGAGCAGGAGCAGGAGCAGGAGTAGGAGCAGTGCGTGGAGGCTGTAGCCAGAGGGGTGGGATGTGGGAAAGAGACCAGCAGGGAGGGGGCCGCTCACCTGCAGGTGGGCACAGCGGGAAACATGAGTGAGGGGCTCTTTCTTCCTTTTTGTTCCAGAGGGTCTGAGAGCGAGGAGGAGCAGTGCCCGTGGATGGCAGAGCAGACCTCGCCTGGGCCAGGTCTGGGCTCTGCTGCCACAACCCAGGTACATCCCATAACATTCCAAATTCCTCCACAACCCTCTTTTGTGTTTTCATTCTAAGAGAGGAGGCGCCAGACTGGAGTCCTGCTCCCTAGAAACAGGTCTCTGGCTCTGCCTGGGGGCCCCTCTCTGCTTTCTCTCGTGTTCCTTGCTCTTCCTCCCGTGTTCCTTGCTCTTTCTCCCATGTTCCTTGCGCTTCCTCCCGTGTTCCTTGGCTTCCTCCCGTGTTCCTTGCGCTTCCACCCAAGCTTCAGAAGCCTGTGGTCACCGCAGTGGGATATGGGGCTTGGCACATGAATCCGTTTGCTAGGGCCGTCATGACAAAGGGTCACAGGCTGGGAGGCTTAAACAACAGAAATTTGTTCTCTCGCAGTTCTGGAGGCTGGAAGTCCGAGTCAAGGTGTTGGCAGGGTTGGTTTATTCTGAGGCCTCTCTTCTCCTTGGCT